ATCAGACCACAATGTTAAGTCATTTATTTGTATTCTTTCCAATTTTTTGATGTAGGTACTTAGAGCTAAGCTTCCCTCTATGGACCACTTTCAGTGTGTCCCGGAGGTTTTGTTGTGTTTTATTGTCCTTTTCATTTAGTTCCAGGAATACTTTTATTTATTTCTTAATTTCTCTTTTGACCCACTCATCAATCAGGATTGTGTTGTTTAATCTCCATGTGATCATGTAGTGACTAGGGCTTCCTCCGGTGTTGGTTGTAAGCTTTATTGCATTGTGGTCTGATAGTATGCATGGAATTGTTTCAGTCTTTTTGTATTTGTTGAGGTTTGTTTTGTGCCCCAGAATATGGTCGATTTTGGAGAAGGTTCCATGGGGTGCTAAGTAGAAAGTATGTCTTTTGGTGCTTGGGTAGACTACTCAGTAGATGTCTGTTAGGTCCATTTGATAATATGGTTTTGTTTAATTCAGATGTCTCTCTGTTAACTCTCTGCCCTGTTGACCTATCTAATGGAGACAGTGGGGTATTGAAGTCCCCTACTATTACTGAATTGGGATTAATCTGGGTCTTAAAGCCCTGTAGTATTGTTTTTATTAAGTTGGGTGCACCAGAGTTTGGTGAATATATGTTCATGATTGTAATATATTCTTGATTTATTGTTCCTTTGATCAGAATGAAGTCACCCTCTTTCTCTTCAGATTAGTTTTAAAGTCTGTTTTGTCAGATATTAGAATTGCAACGCCTGCTTTTTTCTTAGTACCATTCGCTTGGTATATTTTTTTCCATCCTTTCACCTTAAGATAGTGCCTGTCCTTGAAAGTGAGATGAGTTTCTTGCAGACAACAAAAAAATGGGTTTTGTTTCTTAATCCATTCACCTCGTCTGTTTTCTGAAACGGGAGTTTTGTCCATTAATATTTAAAGTTATTCCTGAAAGATGTGTATTGAATCCTGTCATTTTTATTTCGGTTTACATTCTTGATATAGCTGTATAAATATTAACTGACTGAACTCCCCAGTCCATTAATGTTTAAA